TATCCCTCTGATTTTCAGGTGAGGATGAGTATCCTTCCCTTCACACCCTAAGATTAGCCCTCCGGTTTTCGGGCGAGATGAGTATCCATTCCTTCACACTCTAAGATTGACCCTCAAGTTTTCGGACGGGGATGAATACCCATCCCTTCACACCCTAGGATTGCCGTCTTCATGCGTGGATTATCTCGTTCCAAGAGCATACCCTTCTTGTTTGACCTAAAAAAAAGACAATAAAGTGAAGAAAGCACAAGAATAGCAGAAGAAATTACTTTCGCATTAATGCTTCTAAGTCGTCAAAAGTAAAGTTAAAAAAATTTGCAAACGTCGAGAGTGATACTAATAAATTAAAGAGCATATGACATTTATAGATGTCAAAAGACGGCTGTCAAAGGAATTATTGCGATGTGGGAACGACTGAGAATCAGTTTTAGAAAAGGACTTGGGCATGTTAAGGCGGCGGGGGCTTGAGCTTTTCCTGGTCCAATTATATGACTAATAAAAAGAGAATTTGATCCTTCATCCGTGTTACTTTAGCCGCAGTTGATGAAGTCAAACCCCACTAAAGTGGACAAAAAGCAATAATGCAGCAATTAACCAAACATTTGGAAGTGTTAAATTAAATACACTTAAGTTACGTGTGAAAATTTTAAATGCAAAGAGATGGACGTGATTTTAAAGAGCAGAAGGAGCTTTTTAATTTAAAATAGTTTATTCATTAGTTAAAACTATTTAGGAAGCAGCTCAATGAACTAGGTGGTTACAAGTCCATGTGCTATGAGATAATTCAGTTGTATAAAGAAGTAATGGCTCTTAAGCTATTATTTGGATGAAGTTTGTTCCAAAAAAATGTTTTGTAGTTCAAGTCTAATCTATAAATTCTACATCCCGACAATTGAAGTAGAGGACATTTGTAGGCAATTAAAAATTTATCGAGTTTAAATCTATAAGAAATTTGAATTTAATCTCAATTAAATATATTTTAATCCAAATATATATTATGGGCTAATATAATTGGATTAATTATATAAGTTCAATATATATGAGTTAAACAAATAAATCCAAATCCATTGAGTTAGCCCATTTAGGTAGCTATAAGTGACGAGACCACTTCATTAAGCCGAAGATGCCATCTTCCTAGAGTCCCAGTTTGGTGCCACGTGTCAAATGACGTGGCACACCAAGTCAAATGAAAGATCCAATAGGATCATGCCACATATCAAAATAACAAGGCATGCCATGTCAAATTTCAAGGGAAATGAAATTGCGCCATATGTGCAAGTAACATGTTCTTGCCAATCAAATGCGGCTTTGTCACGCTTTAATCTGATTGGTCGAAAAGAGTTTGTTCTCATCACAACTCTTCACTTCCACAACTATAAATATGGGTCTTCATAACTCTTAAAGGACCACCAGAAGTCATAACAAGAAGCAAGAGAGAGCTCGTGGATCAAACGCCACAATTTTCTCTACAAGCTTTAAGTTTTAATCAACCAAGTTCAAGTTCAAGAAATCAAGTTCAAGATCAAGAACGAAGAACACGTCAAGGTTCAAGGAGTACGAGTTCAAATCAAAGTTCGAGCTAGAAAAGAAGAAACAGAGGATTCATAGAGATTGTACACTCATATTACAACAACAACAACAACAACAACAACAACAACAACAACCCAGTAAAATCCCACTAGTGGGGTCTGGGGAGGATAGTGTATACGCAGACCTTACCCCTACCCGAAGGGGTAGAGAGGATGTTTTCGAAAGACCCTTGGCTCAAGAAAACAAAAAAGGCAAAAGGAAAAAATATTAGCATCACCATAGAAATCATAGGAAAAATAGGAACAACATGAAATCTAGAAGAAAGATGCAAAGCAAAGCAAAAACGATAGCTAGTAAATAGGTCTTGCACTGAAAAGCGAAATAGTAAGACACAACGTTGCCACTATCTGTCTTAGACAAAAACCCTACCAGCCTAGTCTCACAAAGGTACGAAGTAAGGGAAGAATCAACTACCTCCTAACCTAGAACTCTAATCCTCGACCTCCACATCTTCCTATCAAGTGTCATGTTCTCGAAAATCTGAAGCCTCGCCATATCCTGCCTGATCACCTCTTCCCAATACTTCTTAGGCCGCCATCTACATCTTCTCGTGCCCACCACAACCAGCCGCTCACACCTTCTTACCGGAGCATTTAGGCTTCTCCTCTTAACATGCCCAAACTATCTAAGCATCGCTTCTCGCATCTTGTCATCAATGGGAGCCACATGCACCTTCTCCCGAATATCATCATTCCTAATCTTATCCATCCTAGTGTGCCCGCATATTCACCTCAACATCCTCATTTCTACTACTTTCATCTTCTGGATATGTGAGTTCTTAACAGCCTAACACCTCAGCCCTATACATCATGCCCGGTCTAACCACCGCTTTATAGAACTTACCTTTGAGTATCGGTGGCACTCTCTTGTCACACAGGACTACAGATGCTAACCTCCTCTTCATCCATCCTACCCAATACGGTGTGTGACATCCTTGTCGACCCCCCTCCCCCCCCCTTCCCCCCCCCCCGGATAACCAACCCAAGGTACTTGAAGCTACCTCTACTTGGGATGACATGTGATTCAAGCCTCACATCCACGCCCACTTCCCCCGGCTCAGTGTTGAACTTACACTCCAGGTATTCCGTCTTCGTCCTGCTCAGCTTGAAACCCTTAGACTCAAGAGCTTGTCTCCAAACCTCCAACCTCTCGTTAACACCGGCTCGCGACTCATCAATCAGAACTATGTCATCCGCAAATAGCATGCACCATGGCACCTCCTCTTGAATATGGTGTCTTAACGCGTCCATCACCAGGGAGAATAAGAACGGACTGAGCGCAGAACCTTGGTGTAACCCCATTACAACCGGAAAAAGCTCTGAGTCGCCTCCTACTGTCCTAACCCGAGTCTTAGACCCATCATACATGTCCTTAATCGCCATAATGTAGGGAATCGACACACCTTTTGCTTCACTTGAAACCAAATACCACGATTGTTGCAATATTTTTCGGTCTCGATTATTTTCTTGACGCAATTGTATTGTCTACATTCCCATCGCCACTCAGTTTTGGAATCATATTAGCATAGATATCTCCTCCCATCCTAAACATCAAAACCATTGGTTACTGCTTCTTAAAGACCTTCGAGCCCCTCACCAAAATGAACTCTCCACCTGGGATATCTTATTTCCTATCGCCTTATGGCACCTCTGGTTCAAAAGAAATGGAAACGCATTTCATAACTTGTCAAACAATTTATCCTCCAACGACATGTCATTATCTATATCTATCTATACTATATTAAAAGCACGAAAGCCTTAACGAAATGTCGTTGGTCTTTTTTTTCCTTTTATAGTAGAGTTCATATTAGACAAAATAATTATTTTATTATTTTTCTAATATTTAATAATAGTAATTTAATTAATTCCCTACTATTTAGAAAAAATCATTATTTCATTATTCCTCTAATATTTATAATATTGATTTCAATTCCTTTCAATTCTAAAATTCAATCGCTTACAATTCGTACAAAGGCAGTTTCTTTCACTTTCAACTCCATCTATATTTAGGAGTCTTCATATTTCTTCCTTTTTCGAATTAGGGCTTTCTTTAGTTAAAGAGTGAAAAAACAATTAATTTCTTTAATCAGAAAACCTATCGATAAATTTATTTATTTCCAACCAAAAGATTGTCGATCCCAATGTTGCAGCTATTATTCCAAAACTAGGTTCAATTGATCTTTAACAAAGTAAAAACTCGAAAAATGTTATGTCATGTCATGTTTATCATGACATTTTTGTTTAATAAATATGAATATTCATTCAAGATTATCAACATAACAAATAAAAAATAAAAGAAACATCTTAATATTACTTTTTATGTTGCTTTTCAAAATTTTATACTCATGACCGGAGGTACTTTCGTATTTATATATCGCAAAAGTTGCTAATTTAATAAAAATTAGTTGACCTAAATCGAGGTTATGTTGAAGCATTGTGCTATTAAAATTTCTGTTTTTTGGGCATAATATCTTAATATTTCACAATTAATATTGTTAGTGTTCAAACTGTCTAATTTAGCATTCTTATGAGATGACCGGAAGCTTAAATATGAGTATGCTGTTCGATACAGATAAAGAATCACAAAAATAATAATTATGTGATTCTACAAAGATGTGTGTCGAACAAGTTTTATTTTACAAAGATCTAATGACATCTTTAGGATATACTCTTGATTATTATTGTTATTTAATTATTATTTGAATATTAAAATTTTGACGATAATTAAATTAATTGTTAATGTTTTGACATACTTAATAAAATTTTACTCTTAGTTATTTAATTGTTATATAAATTATTTCTTATTTGTTGTAATTTTGAGAATTAGTTATATAAATCATGTGAGTACAAACAAATTTAGAATACACCTAAAATTAATTTAATTGATCGCTTCATAATAAAGTTCGTAGAATTTAAATCTGCATTCTTTGTAGTGAGTATAACTTTTGGTAACTGATAAAGAAATATGATAACTTATGAAATTTATTTGGTGCAATTATAAAATTATACATTTTCTTAAGTTGAGAATAATGACTAATGACTAAGGACTTATTTTTTTGTACTTTTTTTTATTCAGTTATCTATATATGGTAAATGCTTTTTATGTTTACGATTTTATACTTTATTTTATAACTCAAGTTTCAATTATTTTATACCTATACTTATTAAGATAGGATACACATACAACGCGCGTTCCCTAAGACTAGTAAGTTAAAATACTGATGGAGCCTTTAGAGACATCCAACAAAATGTGGCATAGGCGGAGTCATAAAAAATGAGCATGGCAATTGGATAGTGGATTTTAGCAAATGCATGTTTTGATACGAATATACATATATGGAACTTCTAGCACTCAAATAGGGACTGCACTTCGTATAGGAACACCACCTTCTAGAAATTGAAACAAATTCTATGGAGGTTACCCACTTGCTTGAACAGGATAATCCTACTTATAGTGATATAACTTCTAACATGCAGGTGACTATTACAGAGACTGCGGAAGCCAAGTATCCGACATTGCTTTCGGGACAGTAACAAGGTGGTGCATGCTCTAGCACAATTAGCAATTTAGAATGCTCTATCCAACCAGTCCATCAAAGCTGCTCCTACAAACTCTATCAAAAAAATATCCCAAAAAGACAAAAAAATATTAGGCCCTGCTTAACCTACTAAGCAAGTTTCTACTTTTGTTTGTAACAGTTTAGCTAAGCTTGATAATCTGTGTGTACTTATATCCTGATTCTAAAATCAACTTATTTTGAAAAGTATTTTTTTTTTAAAGTGTTGTTCAAAAAAGTACCTTTGGTGAGAAACAGTTTGAGTTTTGCTAATTAATTTAAAAAGCACTTTGTAGCAATAGTTAATGTTTGGCAAGCTTTTAAAAAGTGATTTTAAGTGTATTTTTTTCAAAAGTTTTTTTTAAAGAGAAGCTACTTTTTTATGCTTTTAAAAAACTATTTTTGCTTTTACTCAGAAGTACTTTTTTCCTTCTAAAAACTAGGCCAAATACCTTAACTTTGAAAAAAAAAAGTACTTTTGGCAACAAAAACATACTTTGGCCAAAATGAAGCTTGGCCACACAGGCTATTAGTGACCTTAGTGTTAATGGTCACACATACCCTTTCATTAACCGTAATATTATTATGCAATGTTCAATAAGTCAATTATTATTTTAGTAGATAGGGACCTCAGGGAGCTGGTGGTAGAAGTTAAGAGGGTAAACGATAGATTGATGGTTATTAAGCTAGTAGTTGGTGGGCTCACTTTAAGCATGATTAGTCCTTACGCCCTGTAGGTAGGCTTGGACGAGCAGGTTAAAAGGCACTTCTGGGAGGATTTGGATGAGGTGATGCAAGGTATTTTTCACAGCGAGAAGTTATTCATAGGAGGTAATTTTAATGGTCATACTGGGGAGACGTATAGGGTCTACGATGATGTGCATGGCAGGTTCAGTTTTGGAGTTAGAAATGAGGGTGGTACTTCGTTGCTAGATTTTGCTAAATCTTTTAATCTGGTGGCAGCTAACTCGTGTTTCCAGAAGAGGAAGGAAAATTTAGTCACATTTCGGAGTACGGTGCCCAAGACTCAGATTGATTACCTTCTCTGCAGGAAGAGTGATAGAGTCTTATGCACTCATTGCACCTAGGAGTGGTTTTCGACCCAACATAGGCTCTTGGTAATTGACTTGGAGATCAAGGGAGAGAAGAAGAAGAGAGTGGTATATGACCAACCTAAGATCAAGCAGGGATCCTTAACTAAGGATAAAAGCTCGGGTATTGAGGGAGAAGCTGTTAGCTATGGGGGCCTGGATAAATAGTGGGAACGCGAGTAGTATGTGAGCCACGACAATGGACTACATCAGGGAAGCTGTGAGAGAGGTGTTAGGGGTTACAAAAGGTTACTCGGAGAGGGGGGAGGGGGGCATAAAGGGAACTGGTGGTGAAATGGAAAAGTCCAACGAAAAATGGAAGCCAAAAGTGGCACATGTGAAGCTAGCGGAGAGCGCCGACGAGGAGAAGAAGAGGACGAATAGAGAGTGTTATAAAAAGGCAAAGAAAGAGGCTAAGATATCGGTCACGACGGCTGAGACATTAGCATTTGAGCGTTTGTATGAGGAACTTAGGGGTAGAGTTGGTAACAAGAAACTGTTTAGGCTAGCCAAGGTTAGAGAGATCAAGGCTCGGGACCTGGAGCAAGTGAGGTGCATCAAAGACGAGGAAGGCAAGGTATTGTTGTAAGAGGTGTGTATTAGTCGCAACTGGTAGATATTCTTCCATAAACTCTTGAAAGAAGATGGGGACAGGAACATCGTGCTTGGGGAGTTACAGTCAGAAATCAAGCGTGATTTTGGATTTTGCAGGCGCATTAAAGTTGAGGAGGTTGAGAAGGTGTTGCAGAATACAAGTAGGGGTAAGGCAACTGGGCCTGACGAGATTCCAGTGGTATTTTGGAAGGACGCGGGTCAGACAGGTTTGGAGTGGCTCACTGGACTGTTTAATGTCATTTTTAGGACGAAAAAGATGCATGGATAATGGAGGCGGAGTTTGATGGTTCCGTTGTACAAGAACAAGGGAGATGTCCAGAATTACAACAACTATAGGGGTATTAAGCTGCCGAGTCACACTATTTAAGTGTGGGAGAGGATGGTGGAGGGGATGGTAAGGAGGAGTGTGTCTATCTTGAAGAATCAGTTCGAATTCATGCCGGGACGGTCGACCACTAAAGCTATTCATCTTGTTAGGAGATTGATAGAACAATATAGGGAGCGGAAGAAGGACTTGCATATGGTGTTCATTGACCTAGAAAAGGACTACGACAAAGTCCTAGGGTAGGTTCTATGGTGATGATTGGAGGCTAGCGAAGTCCCGGTAGTGAAAATTAGGATTATCAATGATATGTACGACGAAGCTAAGACTAGGGTAAGGACGGTGGGAGGAGACTTGGATAATTTCCCAATGGTGATGGTGGTTGCACCACGGATTAGCTCTTAGCCCATTTTTGTTCGCTCTAGCAATGGATGTGCTCTCGCGACACATCCAAGGGAGGTGCATTGGTGTATGTTATTTGCAAATGACATAGTGCTGATTCACAAGAAGCATTGCGGGGTTAACGCTAGGATGGAGGTGTGGAGATAAATCCTAGAGTCTAAAGGTTTCAAGTTGAGTAGGATAAAAATAGAATACTTGGAGTGCAAGTTTAGTGTTGGGATACATGAATTGATGTGGAAATGAAGATTGATACTGTAACGACCCAGCCGGTCGTTTCGAGAGTTGTAGCCCCGTTCCCCCATTTCCTGCTCCTTATGTGATTTATAGCTGTTATATGACTTACTGGGTTAGTTGGTTCGGTTCCGGAAAGATTTCGGAATATGTTGAGACACTTAGTCTCATAATTAAAAGGTTAAGTTCAAAAAGTTAACCGGATGTTGACTTATGTGTAAACAACCCCGGATTTGAAATTTGATGGTTCTGTTAGCTCTGTTGGGTGATTTTAGAATTGAGAGCGTGTCTGGATTGTGATTTGGAGGTCCATAACTGAATTAGGCTTGAAATGGCGAAAGTTGGATTTTTGGAAAGTTTGACCGCGAGTGGACTTTTGATATCGGGGTCGGATTGGGATTCCGGAAATTGGAATTGTTCGTGGTGTCATTTGTGACTTGTGTGCAAAATTTGAGGTCAATCGGAAGCGATTTGATAGGTTTCAGCAACATTTGTAGAATTTGGAAATTTCAAAGTTCATTAGGCTTGAATCTATGTGCGGTTCATGTTTTTGATGTTGTTTGAGGTGGTTTGAGAGTTCGACTAAGTTCATATGAGGTTTTAAGACTTGTTGGTATGTTTGGTTGAGTCCCGGGGGTCTCGGGTTGATTTCGGGTGGTTAACAGACCAAGGTTGGAAGTTGAAGAGCTGCTGAAGTTTGAGGACTGCTAGTGTAATCGCACCTGCGGAGTGGGAACCGCAGGTGCAAGCCTGCAAAAGCGGGAAGGGAGCCGCAGAAGCGGGCAAGGAAGAGATGAGCAGAGGTCGCAGGTGCGAAGATTCTTCCGCACCTGCGTGGTTGCAGAAGCGGGCTGATGAGCGCAGATGCGGGTGAGTGCGCAGGTGCGATAGTCTGTTCCGCACCTGCGATTGCACAATTGCGGTCCAAGGCTCGCAAAAGCGGAGGCAGCTGGGCAAGTGAATTCTGCTCTGCAGAAGCGGGTCCGCAGATGCGGATAGGTGGCCACAGGTGTGAAACGGCTAGGCAGAATATAAACGTTGGGTTCCGAGGGTTTTATCATTTCTTGACTTTGAAAACTCGGAATTGGGTGATTTTTGAGAGAGATTTCAAAGGGTTTCTTGAGGTAAGTCACTTTGGTTAAATTTCTTCAATAATTATGTTTCCCCGTTGATTTTCCCACCTAGATGGTGTGTTTTTGAGATGTAATTTGGGGATTTGAGGCTAGGGATTTGGAGAGTTGATTATGGGATTTGAGTGTAGATTGGTGTCGGATTTTGATAAATTTGGTATGGTTAGACTCGTGGTCGAATGAGCTTTCAGGTTTTGTAACTTTGTTTGATTTCGAGACGTGGATCGGGGGGCCGGCTTGAAGCCAATTTCGGATTTTGATTCATAATTTCGTATTTTCTTGTGGAATTGATTCCTGCAGCCTTTATTGATTGTATTGTACTGCTTGTGGCTAGATTCGGGATATTTGGAGGCCGATTTGCGAGGCAAAGGTGTATTGGAGTAGAGTTTTGCTCGGATTGAGGTAAAAAAACAGTTCTAAATCTGGTTCTGAGGCTATGAAACCCCGAATTTTGTATTATGTGATTGGTTTGGAGGTGAAGCACATGTTAGGTGACGGGTATGTGGGCGTGAACCGTAGGAATTGTTACTTGGTCCATTTCGTGGAACTGTAAAGTTGAATAACTTGTTGTTAGCTATATGCTCTCCATGTGTTATAGAAATTTGATTATAAATCATATTAGAAATCATGTTTAGGCTATGTATTGGTACTGTTGGGACCCACAGAGGTCGTGTTACATGTTGAATTACCTGCTAAATGTTATTTGTACTTGGTCTCAATTTTTACTCACATATCATAACTCAGTCTCTATTATTTCCTTGGTGATACATCATATTATTGCTGTTTGGGCTAATTTTCATAATTTCTGAGAGCCCGAGAGACTGAAGAGATTGATGACTGAGTGAGGCCGAGGGCCTGATTGTGAGGATATTTATGGAATCGGGCTGCACTGTTGCTCTGAGACTGTTGCTCTGAGAGGTTGTATATGATTTCATTGTTATTGCACATATTTGCCATATATAACTGTTTTGAAAACTTCTGAGAGATATTTTATCCAATTTTTACTTGAACTTGGCATGTATAAACTACTTTAACTTAAATTGCCGGATTTGAAAGCATGTCTACTTTCTTTGTTGAGACTACTGAAAATGAACTATAACTATGTAGCTCGTCACTATCTTCAGTTCTTTATTTAGTTTTGTTACTTACTGAGTTGGTTGTACTCACACTATATCCTACACTTCGCGTGCAAATTCAGGTGTTTCAGGACACGGTGAGTGTTGATATTTCGCACAGCTGATCGTTAGAGACTTTGAGGTAGCTGTCCGACATTTGCAGTCGTTCTTTCTCCTTCCTTATCTTTTCTTTTATCATACTAAGACGTGACACCCCAATTCAGGAATTGTTTTCCACATTTGTGTTTTTGGGTTTCTACCCCATTACGAAAACATTTTGGTATTTAAAACTACTTTGGCTCATTATCTATTAAATGTTAAGAATGTTGGATTCCCTAATAACCACGATAGACGCCATCACGCCATGTTAGAATTTGGATCGTGCCAGATACACAAGTAATCCCCCCAAGGGGTTGTTTTAAATACCTTGTCAGTAATATCCTAATAGAGAGATTGACAAGGATGTTACTTATCATTTTGGAGTAGGGTGCATAAAATGTAGACGCATCTAGTGCTTTATGGGTGGTAGTTATCTCCATAATGAGGCCTTTTTTAACGAAATGTGACTCCAATTCTCTCCCATTTTTAGCCCCAAAATAGAGAATGAATAGTTTTACTCCAAAATTAAAAGAATAATATTCATCCCCTCCATTATTATTCATACTTGCTTTATATTAATTTTATTATTTAATTTTTTTAATTTGTCTCTATATATATCCTAATTGTCTTGTATCTCAATGCTTTTATTTTTATTTGAATTATTCATTAATATTATAATCTATAATATCTTTGCAAATTATATTATTTAAAAATTTATGGTATAAAATAATTTTATATTAAATTATATGTGATAAATATGTAAAAAAAAGATTAAAATTTTTTTTAATAGAAATAAAAAAACGAATAAAAAATAATAATACAATATTGTAAAGAGAGAAGAATATAAAATAAAATAAATATTATGTTTTGAAGTAAAAAATGAAATAATAGTTGAAACAACTTTACATCATTTTAAAGTTATCCCTATTTTGGAAGAAAAAATAGAAGCAAAGGTCAGAGACGGCCTAAGAAAACCAAGCCTGACAAAGGATAAACCACTAGTCTTGAGATAACTTAACATAGTCAATTTGAGGTTGTAAAATGAGCTATTTCAACATATAAGCAAATTTAAAATCATATTTT